AATAGATTGTAACTTTTCTTCTTGTAAATGATTTATTATCACATAAGAAAATAAAGAAGTGTTTGTAATGTCTTATGCCCATTCAAAGGAAAATCAGTCTCTGTATATAATTTCTTCTTGGTTGTCTTTAAAATTCTTTGATCTCACTTTGCACTTGCTATTTTTTCCATTGACTGGTACTGTCCATTGTATACTGCCTACTATCCGCTTGTGTAGCTACAATCGATCATATCTAATTTGCTTTTATATGGATTAGGGATGGGGCTGCTGCATTAGTTTTGGTGAGTGGGCAGAAGGCTCAAGAGCTTGGCCTGCAAGTCCTTGCAAGGATCAGAGGATATGCAGATGCAGCTCAAGTAAGCTACAGTGACTGGCAATGCAGAGCTCCGGTGGCCTTCTCCTGTCCCCGAGGTCAGGCTTAGGCTCAGGCAGGCGGAGGCAGCCTGTCGTCATCTATTTTTGACATAAGTGTTGACTCTATTCATGATGAACTATTGATTTGTGTATTATTTGAATGAAACCTTATTGGTCATGCACAGAAAGTACTGTATAAAAAATATATATTTCAATATGATGTTGCTAATGATTTAAAATAATTTTTTTTTGTGTGTTCAACTCTTTTTTTTCTGTGAGGCTGGCTACACAGAAATATTTTTTTTAATCTGGGCGAAATGAATTTTTCTGTGAGTTCACCTAGACCGACAGAAAAAAACGTGTTTTTCTGTGCGTTTATGCGTTTATTTCTGTGTGGATTAACACACAGAAAAATTAATTTTAATCTGAGCGAACATAATTTTTCTGTGCGTGTGAGACCCACAGAAAAATTGTTTCTGACGGTGAACCCATAGAAAAATTCGATTTTTCTGTCATTATATTTCTGTGGGTATTTTTCTGAGGGTACACCGTCAGAAAAATATTTTTCTGACGGTATTCGTATTTTTCTGTGTGTTTTCGCACCCAAAGACCAGTAGTGAATGCATGTTGTTATGTGAGGGAACTTACAGATTCGAAATGTTTGCAGACAAATTCTTGTTGAGAGACGAGAGGTGCTGGATGCCCAAACTAGAAGCACCGTTCACGCACTCCATCTCATGCGCACGAAACTCAAGCTTCACGTGGTCAAGCTTTGGCATTGATCCCGCTTCAAACTCCAGGGAGGTCTGTTGCCAGGGAAGACGATCCTTCCACCAGTGCCCCCGACACTGTCTAAGTCGAGAAAAAGCAAACTGAGTATTTCTCCAAGGATCTCAACATCTTCTGGTCTCACACATATGACCGCCAGTTTTAGCACACTGTGGTTTACAAGTGATCCCATCCAATTTGGCACCCTCTTTCAATGCAGAGCTTGCGGATGCTACAGGAGGCTGCAGGGTGCCATGAATGTAGCGGCAGTGGGTTAATTGTCTTTGGTCCTCTAGATCCACGAAAAATAATGAAGTATTAAGCTTAGCTTTAGTAAAAGAGCTACTGCACACATAGCCATGTAAACGTGACTCAGAGCAGCATCTTGATTAAAGTTTTATCATGCTATGTCGGCAGGCTTTACCACGGGAAGAACGTAGCATGTGATGCGCACTGTCTGGGTTAATATTTCTTTCTCGAAGAACCATATAGGCTAAGCTTTCCATGCAAATAATAAGGAGACGGTGGCATGCATGTATGAGATCATCGAGGTTTATTGCACAGGGCGCGTCGATTTGGCGAAGTAGTTCAGCCTAATCGGCCAGAGATGCTAAATTTGCTCAATTTAATAAGGAGAAACGGTGGCAGTATCTGGCCGTCTGGGTGAGAAACCATACTGGCCTTGTGGGCGGCAAATTATTTTGAGTATAAAAACAGAGATGAAAGCTGATAGAGAAGCCAAGAGAGGACAGGGGAGGTGTGGTGCGCCCGTTGGGAACTTGCGGAGTTGGGATGATGCCTTGACGACCGAAGTTGCAAACATTAGCTACCTGTCTACCTTTCCCTATGCGTCTTGGCTCCCACTAATTAACTCCGTGCATGCTATTAGCATATTGCTCAACAAGTTTTCAATTTAAATATCAATACAGTGATGGCAGAAATTAGAAATTCAAAATTTTACATATGATGATGGTTAGAAGAAGATCATAAATAATATAACTTTTACGAAAAGCGATTCTTGGTGAACGGATTAATTCTTCTGTTTCTGTTTTTACCCCTAGGCAAACTCCTCTGGATAGGAGGTAGACTAGTCTTAATAAATTCGAGTTGTCTTGTTTGCCCATGTTCATGTTCTACTTTTTAAGGCCCTATGAAATTTTTCCAAAAAAAGTAAATTATTTTAGAGTAAAATGCACCCTGGGTCTTTAAACTTTTAGGGCATTTCCATCTGGGTCCTCAAACTAAAAAAACGACTATCTAGGTCCCTCATCTATTGCCGCCAGTGCACCGTAGGGTCCAAAACCAGCCACGCAAGCACCAACATCCGACGTGGCACGGCACGGTGGTAGGCCGAACATCGGGCCCGTTACCACAATCAAGCGACGTGGCACGCCACAAATCGGACGATTGATGATAAATACTGTAGTTAAAAAGGCTTGATCCCAATACTTGAGTGGCATGGGACGCATGAGCAAGAAGTGAGAGGCCAACTTCTACAATATGGCGATGCTTATGCTTCTGCAGATCCATTTTGCTGGTGAGCATGAGGGCAGGAAACATGGTGAGCAATGCCTAAGCGCTTGAAGAAGGCATTAAGAGATTGATATTCTCCTCCCGGTCCGACCGGATCGCAAGGATCTTATGGCTAAATCGGCGCTCAACCATGTTCGGAAATCACGAAAGCATTGGAAAACCTCGGACTTAAAACGCAGCAAATAGATCCGGTGAACTTGCTAAAATCATCGATAAAATCGATATAATAAGAATGTCGACCCACGAAGTTGTGCAGTCCCCATACATCATCAAGAAACACAAGCTCAAAAGGTTTAGAGGAAACACTATTGGACTTTGGATAAGATAACTGATGGCTCTTGGCCATTTGACAAGCATCGCAAAATCACACCACTATTGTTTGACTCACTAGAAAAAGATAACTTATGACGACTAAGAACACTCTTGACTGACAAAGTGACGAAGCATGACCTAGACGACTATGCATAAGGAGATGGACGCCTTAGCAACTCCAAGGACTTGTTTATTTGATGAAGGCTGGTTTTGTGGATGATGAGGCTTCAATGGATAGAGACCACCCTCACATTCCCCTTCGAGGAGTGTCTTCCTCGTCACCTTGTTCCTTAAGAGAAAAATATTTTGGATGAAGTTCAAGAAAGGCATTGTTATCTTTGACTAGACGATGTGCTGAAACAAGATTTTTAGTGGCGCTAGGAACATGAAGAACATTGTTTAGATGAATGTTACGAACTGTGGATTGCAAAACACTATGACCAACGTGATTAATTGTCATACCTGCCCCATTCGCTGAAAGCACTTGTTCCCCTCCACGATACTTGTCGCGGAACGAAAGCTTCTCCAAATCACCGGTTATGTGATCCATGGCACCAGAATCAACATACCAGTTGGTGTCGACCCCATAAGGAGCCGTGTTTGCTGAGGAAGCACTCTTCTGCGGGGGGCCGGTGAAGTTCGTGTCGAAGCGCTTGAAGCAGCGAACCACCGTGTGCCCTTCTTTCCCACAGAGTTGACAGAAGACGCCAGCAAGGAAGTTGTGGCCACCACTGCCACCATTGCTGTTGCTGTTGTTGCGGCCGCCATTGCCACGACCACTACCACCACGACGGAAGCCGCCGCGGCCACCATCATTGCGGCCACGCTGCTGCTGGTTGGAGGCGCCAGAGCCACCCCCACGGCCACCCTTGGTGGCCACGTTAGCAGAGGATTGGGAGCTGCCACCATGGATCTCCTTGCGCTGCTCAAAAGCTATGAGTTGCGCATACAGCTCGTTGACGGAGATTGGCTCGACACGAGAGGCCACAGCGGAGACGATAGATTCGAACTCCTCGCCGAGGCCGGTGATGATGAAGGTGACGAGCTCTTCGTCTTCAAGCTTGCGACCTGCCGAGGCCATATCATCGGCAAGTCCTTTCATCTTGACAAAAAATTCAGCCACCGACGACGCGCCCTTGGTCGCCATGGCTAGGGCCATACGTGTAGACATAATACGTGCCCTTGACTGAGAGGCGTGCAGCTCCTGGATGGCAGCCCACAACTCCTTGGCGGTGGATGCAGTGGCGACTTGACCAAAAATCTCCTTCGTGAGTGAGGAGAACAGGTAGCTAAGCACGATCTGATCTTCCGCAACCCACTTCTCGTACGCCGGGTTGGGCTACGGATCAATCTTCTTGCCGTCGGCCGTAGTGCCAGATGTAGCATCAAGCAACGCCGGTGGCGGTTCGGCAGTGCTCAGGATGTACCCACCGAGGCAAGCCCCCTTGAGCGCTGAAGACACGGTGGCATGCCACATGTTGTAGTTCCCGCGAGTGAGCTTCTCGGAGACAACAGGAAGAAGCCCGAAGGCAAGGGGTGCTGCGGCGGAGGCAGAAGTTTCCCCATGGATTAGAGGAGGAGGCAGCGCTGCGAAAGCGTGAGATTGGATCGGTTATTCCGTGAGGAGGAGGAGGCGTGATACCATGTAAAAGATATGTAGGAAGAGATCCTCGTAAGGGTCCTCGGTGTTTCATTATATAGAAGTACAAGAGTACAACACAATTACAACAGAGAGAGTTGTTATGGTAACCAACTCTAACTAGAAACATGGAATAGCCACGGGATAGGATCCACGTGATCAACTATTCCTAAATATACCAACTCCTAAATATAGCATATTCTAACATAAAACTAATTAGAATTTTACAACCAGTAGCAACCACAGCAAAGCAAATCTGCAATCCAGAGCAACGTAGAAAACATGAAGTTCCACAGCAGTTTTTTATTGAACTTCGAGGTAGATACGAGACACGTTCATCAGGCAAATGCCCAAGATCAAAGTAGCCAACCAATCCACCTCATGCAGACTAATATCACATTCTAATTGCTGCTACCACTGTCCTCTTGGTGTGCCACTTCTTTTCACCAGTCTGCTCCTCTTCTTCCTTTTCATGTGTCTCATCCTGCTTGGAAAAAGAAGATGAATTTGGTGGGGAAAATGGGATCACATGAATGTAAAACTGACTGGTAGCATAGTGGACCTTTATTTGATACCTCTAGTTCAGTCTCTCCATCAGTAGTTTGGTTCGCCTGCTCCTCTGTAATTTGCCAAAGTTTGAGCCACTCATTCAATAACCCATCGTGATATTGATTCCACTCCCTCAAAAACTGAAGGAGAAAAAAAACAAACTGCTCAATTGAACGGCCAAGTATATATATGCTAAATGGAAGAAAGAAGTATGCATTGGCCGCAGCTAGAAGAGAAGTGGAAACGGAATATAAACAAGAGAGTTGAAATAAACTATTTAACTGAACAGCCAAGTAGGAATAGTTGCTAAATGGAAGAAAGGAGTATGGGGTTGCAGCAACTGAGGCCTTGTTTAGTACTAAATAGTTTTCCCAAAAAGTGCTACAGTAGCTATTACATCGAATCTTGCGATACGTGCATGGAGCATTAAATGTAGACAAAAAAAAAACTAATTGCACAGTTTGGTGGAAAATCGCGAGGCAGACGTTTTGAGCCTAATTAATCCATGATTAAACACTAATTGCCAAATAAAAACAAAAGTGCTACTGTAGTCAAATTCCCTAATTTCGCGGAACCATCAATGCATGTTGTTGCGTGAGGAAACTTACGGATTCGAAATCTTCACAGTAGCTATAGCTATGATGTACTCTTCTGAAGCTGGCAGTGGGACGCTTGGGAAGTGTCTCGATGGCAGCATTAATGGCTCTTGAAATACATCGGGCAGTGTCATCATGATCATCTTCCACTGGGTTGTAGTCCACGTCATACTCATGCCGGTCGCTACCAATTTTGATCTCAACCTTGTTGAGAGACGAGAGGTGCTGGATGCCCAAACTAGAAGCACCATTCAAGCACTCCATCTCATGCGCACTGAACTGAAGCTTCACGTGCTCAAGCCTTGACATTGATCCCGCTTCAAACTCCAGCGAGGTCCCACAAAAGTTGATACACAGGGAGAATTGTTTCAGACTTCTGAATCCGTTGTTGCCAGGGAAGACGATCCTTCCGCTAGTGCCCCCCCAAGTGTCTAGGCTGAGAAAAAGCAAACTGGGTATTTCTCCAAGGATCTCAACATCTTCTGGTCTCACACAGATGATGAACAGTTTTAGCACACTGAGGTTTACAAGTGAGCCCATCCAATTTGGCACCCTATAGATGGTAATATTTTCAATGCAGAGCTTGCGGATGCTACAGGAGGCTGCAGGGTGCCATGAATGTAGCGGCAGCGGGTACTTCATAGGGAACCACCCCTCTTAGTATATATAAGATGATGCAGGTTGCATGAAGATAATAAATTTCCAACATAACTGTGAATGCGCTCGGCTTGGCTTCTTCCTTCTGAGTCAATTGGTTTATAAACATCGCATATAATTTTAGTGTCCTCAGCTTGGTGAGTTTGCTGAATTCTTGTATGGACTTCGCTTGCCCGTAGGATTCGACTCAAACCTCCTCAGCTCTTCCAAGCTGTGCATCTTTCCTATTGTTCCTTCTGGAAATCTAGTATCCCAATCAACATATAAACGAGTCAGTTGTTGAAGTTCCGTGATAGTTCGTGGTAGTTCTCTGATATGAGTGCCTCGCACATCCAACGTCTGTAGATGATGTAGTTCACCAACAGTCTCTGGGAGCCCACTTATGGACCATGAGCAGAGACGCAAGTACTTAAGATTAAACAACTTCCCAATACTTGCAAGATGATATTTTTCCATGCCATAGTGTTCTCTTAGGTCCAACACACGAAGAGGAGTCGAAGGCAACAAAGAGATTTTCACAGGCTCTCCAAATATAGTAACTGACCGAACATGAGACAAGATCTCGTCTGCCCATAAAGTAACATTTTCTTCATTGTGGTTGATGACACAAAGCCTACGAACCTTGTATTCTGATGTATATACAGGCTCCGCAGCATCTAATGAAGTTACAAAATTCTCTTCAGCGGCCTTGCATTTGATGTAGTCAAGGATGATGTCATGCACTTGACATGCCTTCACCTGACCATACTTTACTCTAACTGGTTGGATCATGCTTCTGTTGATCAGATCATTGAAGTAACGCTCACCAATTTCATATTCATTTTGACCATTTTCCTTATGAATGAACCCTTCTGCAATCCACCTATTGATCAAACATTGTTTCTCAATCTTGTGATCTTCTGAAACACACTCAAGTACAACAAACAACTTCTTAGATGGTGAGGAATATCAAAGTAACTCATAGATAATATGGCCGTCATATTCTCAGCACCAGGATTCTTAGCAAGAGAAGAACCAATATCATTTAGTACACTGTCCCATTCACCTTTGCGTGCTGATCAGCTAACATGCTAGATATAGTGATGATTGCTAATGGTAAACCATCACATTTTCTTAATATCTCATCCGGAGCACTACCCAAATGAGTATAGCATAAGTTTTCAGAACCAAATGCTCTTTTAAAAAGCAACCTCTTGGAGTCCTCAAAACTGAGAGATTTCATTTGGTAAACATTACCGCCTTGGGAAGACAAGTATGATGCAACGTCATTGCTACGTGTTGTAGTGATTACTCTGCTACCACAATTGTTATTCATTAATGCAAGCTTGATGGTCTCCCATGGTTTTGCATCCCATACATCATCAATTACAATGAGGTACCTGCAAATAATTTTAACAACGATGCAGTTAGTGCTGAAGCCTGTAAGGCTATATTGTGTGTGCCAATGACATTTTGTTGAAGTGTGGCAAAAATACATACAGGTTTATATGAATGGTATTATGAGTAGCGATACTTTTGCAGAGGTAATAAAGATTTACATCCTAATAACTCCAATCCACTAAGGTATTAAAGATTTACATCCTAATAACTCCAATCCACTACGAAAATGGTGGAGTTCTCCTAGTGTTTTTAAGTAGTAATAAAACACTACCACTAGTCACAGTACATGAGAATCCTTACTGGGAGGCATTTGGAAGGGAAAGTTTATCCTAAATGTTGAATGCAGATTCTGGTCGCGATCATTAGGTGTATTACGATTTCAAAATGTCTTTAAATGTATACTTCGTCCACATATTTCTCTTACAATATTTCATCTATTGGGTACAAAATAAATATCTTATTATATCATCAATTACTACAAAATAAATGCCATATTAAATATTGAGATTTTTCTTATTCATCTAAATTTCAAATTTCAATGCACTAAGCATGCATGTGATTTGCAATTTACCAATTATTGGTCAAATTTTATGAACTTTAACCTTTTCTTATCTTATTATGTGCACTAAAAAGAAACCGACGGAGAAGTAGATGTAACTTAGTTTTTTATTATATTCTTCCCGGCAATAAGGTGTTAGATCCTAGCAGTAAATATTACTCCTACATAAAGGGAACAGCTCTCCAAGTCCTATAGCCCTGTACAACATTATTGAACTTTGTCAAATCATAACCCTAAAATAACAGCTACATTTGAGCGCACTTATGCTAGCCACACTAGCTAGGTTTTACTTCATCCATTTGGCATATTAGTGTCGTATGCATAGACAAAGGAGTTATAAGAATGAGAAAAAAGAATAATAAATAATCACAAATCCTTGCTTGAGTTCTATCTGCTAATATATATTGAAGTACATGTAGAAGGTAGAAAGATTTTATTAAATACACTAACATTTCAATGAATGCCTTAATGGACATGCAAACAAAAATCAAGCCCTTCTGAAACGGATCGGAAACATGGCAATTAAAAATGGAGATACAATTTGTTTCAATGTCATACAATTTGTTTCAATGTCTAAACAACAAATATCTAATGAATGTTGTATAAGAGTGAATTCCGGAAAAATAAAGTTATTTCTAACTAACTGTAGAAGAAATATATTTTTTGGAATAGTTTGAAAGAACTTAACTAATTGTGCTCACATAATGCAAAACTAGCTTTATATTGTGGAAACCAAAGAAAAGTGACTGTAGTTTTGTAATGTTTTTGTAGTTTTGTGTAATTATTGGAGCAAAATATATAGTTAAGTCCTCTGAAACTATTCTCAAATTCTGTGGTTTCTTTATAGATGCAAATAGTTGTAATTAAATCCAGATGTAAACTAATTTAGTGGGGTTACTTGTTGAACTAGCAAAGGAGGAAATATGTTAGGGAGCCATGCAAGTTTTACTAATAATAATAAACATACCAGTACATGTTTCTTTTTAGTTTTCCTATAATTAGGGAGTAGCACTTGCAAATTCATTTCATAGGTGCTAAATATTCTACCAATTTCAACCCTACAATTTTACTGTCATTACGTTACAGCACACATGCAAACATTATCATAGATAATCTGCTGGCTTACCTTTTATCCTGAAGGTGTTCCCTGAGTTTATCAATGAGTTCCTTCTCATCATCATCCAACATATTACTGGTAATACCAACTCCTTTTGCAATGCCTCTTAATACTTTTCTGACATCAGGAGTTCGAGAAACCGACACAAATGCTGCACATTTGAACTGGTTTTTAATGTCCTCATAGACTAGCTTTGCAAGAGTAGTCTTACCAAGACCTCCACAACCAGCAATTGAGAAAACTTTAAGTTTTGCAGATGACCCATTCATCTCCATGCTTAACAACTCAATGATTTGCTTCTTAGGGGCATCGATGCCCACAAGTTTATCAATATCCACGTAGAGAGCCTGCAGCCTAGGATCAACAGAAGAACTGCTAGATTTGTTTTTCAGTTGGGCCAAATCATACCTCTTGTGCCTCTCGCTTGCCTCTAGAACAGATGCCTTGAGTTCTTGGATCTGATTGGCAATATCATGGCGTTGCTTCAGTTTCTTCAGCTTGCGGAAGAATCCCTTGATTAATCCCGAATGTCCATCACGCTCGTGGTCAACACGAGATATGAAGGCATCAATGCAATCTTCCAAGTCATATGCCAGCTCACGTAACTTGTCCCTCCATGCCGTCATCTGAGGGTTGAGCTCCTCTGCATCCGCAAGCATCTCAAGCGTGGGACTCATGGCTCTCAACTCGTCTCTCAAAAACTTGATCTGCTTGCGGACACCTTTGAGCTTGACGTACTCTTCTTCCAGCAGCTTGGTGAGCTTGGACAGGAGGGGCTTCATCACCCCGGTGGTAACACCCACGACAGCTGCCGTAGCCATTTTGCTCATCTGGTGTGCTCGCTGGAATGCGGTGGTGGTGCTGTGGAAAAGCACTGATTTCAGATCGTGTATTGTATGAGGTGCAGGGCAACGCCTGTTTCTCAAGGAAGAGTAGCAGTGGGTTAATTGTCTTTGGTC